AACAAACAGAAGCATGAAGGAAATAGCACTTCACTGCCCAAAATAATTCACAATGTGACCAGACACATGAATATGTTTGCTAAAGTGAAAAGGCCTACCATGAGAGGAGGAAGCTGGCCAGAAATACTTAAGGAAATAGAGGAATATAGGCCTAAAATTAAGGTCGTTCAGGTTAAATGGGAAATCCCACCGGCTGGATGGATTAAATATAACATGGATGGTGAAGCTAAAGGATGTTATGGATTTAGTTCATATGCCTACTGTCTAAGAGATGAGAATGGAGACATTATATTTGCAGAAGGTGCCAGGATTGAAAATACAACAAGTACTATGGCAAAAGCAGTAGCGATTTTAGAAGCCAGCAAACATTGCAAGAACTCTCAATATAATCAGGTCATTATTCAAACTGATTCTATGTTACTGTGCGGAGTGCTAAAAGGAAAATGGGTCACCTTATGGGCACTTTCAGATATTGTGGAAGAAATCAAAACATGCTTACAAGATAAACAATATACATATCAACACATTTTGAGGGAGGGAAATCAACTTGCTGACTACCTAGCAAACAAAGCAATAGAACAGGGGACCTGCAGATATGATGATTTCAAAAGCCTTGAACCACATGAAAGGAGAATCTTAAACAGTGATAAAAGTGAAAGCCCATATTTAAGGATATCTTCCTTAAGGAGATAATGGGAAAGGGGAGGCTACAACATAAAGTTTATTCACAATAACAGAATTTACAAAAGCCATAGGGGCGACAAAAAATGTGAAATGCTAAATAGACATGGCTATCTCAGCCAACAACAACAAAGACTCAGCAATTTGGGGGTTACAAGGTTCAGGCGAGTGAACCTGGAGGAGACACTTATTCCCAGTTGAAAGTGGCGGAATGCAGCTTCCAAGACACCCATGCGAGCACCATTTGGAGAAATGAAGTGAGCAAAGTTAGTAAAGCACAAGGCAACAAAGGAGTTCAATGAAGTGAAAATACATAGTGAATAAGTCATCCCTATCAAATGGCTTCAACAGATCACTAGTAGAACGCAGTTCATTGTACCAGAGAACTTAGCTATGAACAAAGATATCAGAAGCAAAAACAAAGGGGAAGGGAGTATAGCTGAAAAGGACACACTTACTATCGATAGCTTAAATCCAACTTTGCAAGAATCCCACAACATAATATTAAATGATCCACAACAACAGGAGACAGAATCCTTTGATCATCCAAAGTGAAAACATAGCAAAAATGGAAAGGGTTGGAAGGAAAGAAGAGTGGAGGTGGATTGTTTTAGGAAACCCGATATTTGAGGGATGTGATTTAAGGATGGGAATCTGATGGGCTGGATTCCTGTGCCTTTATTTTGCTTTGGTTGTTTCATTAGTGGATTTGGGTAATAGACCCAAATTTGCTTTGTTTCTCATGTAGTTACTTTCCTATTTAATAAAAGGCTTTGCCATATTTTGATTAAAATAAAAAAATAGACCGTAGGTCTGACCACGGTCCGTGGTCCAGGGCTGTAGGTCGAACCCCAGAATTTTAGTCCCAGTCGCCGAACGACGGCCGACCAGCACGACCATCGGTCGATCACGGTCTGTGGGTCTGGTCCGTCGATGACCCCGACAACTTTTAAGTCGGGGGTCGTTTGGTCTTTTCCTTATGCGTTGGACCCCTAAACTACGTCATTTAATCCCTAAACTATGTGGTTTTGGTCAGTTTAAGCTTAGTAACTTAATTAGAATCTACCCTAAGAAAATCATTCACCTAAATTTAGAAAACATAGAACGCAAGAGGAGAAAGAAGTTGACCAAGCCCTAGTCCAAGAACACAACAGGTTTCCACCAATTTCAACCCTAAAATCGAAAGATTTCTCCGTGGAATTCATTACCATGTATGTGGGATTTCACTAGTGGGTTCCTTTCACCCATTAGGTCCCTAGAATTTAGTCAAATTCTTGATTCCCTTAATATTATCTAGACGTAAGGTTTCTAGAATTTTAGCAGATCATTACAATTTAGTTACTTTAATGTTCCTAATCAGATTATCATGATTTTAGTATAAATTCCTTCATATATTCAGAACCCTAGCTATGTAGTTCTTTTAGTTCATGAATTACAAATGCTAGGTCAGTTTATTCGGTTATACATGCTCCAGTTATAAATATTTCATTATCAGTACATAATGTTGCATTTTCAGTTAGCATGTCAGTATTTGAGCTATCCAGAATTACTTCATTTCAGTTATAAATTGCTAAACTACATAATCAGTTGGGAGTAAACTTAATACTGAGTGGACTAGGGTCAGTCACCCGCAAATCCCAAAAGTGCGTGCCCCATAGGTTGTAAGTCTCCTTTGTGGGCAACATTTTAGTGATCACACCAGTCATGCCTTTATATCTCTGGCAGGGTATATTGGGTCCTCTCGATGGGGTGTATACATCGAAATCCACATTTAGCTCATGTGGTTTTATGTCGGTTATTAATAGCTTCCACAGTTCAGTCAGATTCTATTGCATTGACCATGTTATCAGTACAGTCCATATTCAGTCTCAGCATGTTATAAACTTGGCCATTGCATTCAGTTAGCTTATGTTCAGTATTTTCATTATCCTTATCATGTTTAGATTATGTCATTGCTTTATTGCTTTGTTCAGTTATGTTGTTATTCAGCTTTACGCTATCCTTCATGCTCAATACCTTTCAAGTACTAACACATACTCTACGCTACATCTTCTCATGATGTAGGTTCAGGTCCTCATCTTCAAGATCACGCATAGATCGGTTCCCGATATCCAGTTCAGGAGCATCAGTGGTGAGTCCTCATATCCCGAGGAAATCAGGCATGTTCTTTTGATTTTAGTCTTTCATTTTATTTTCAATTTTGCTAGATTTAGCTGGGGTATGTCCCAGCACTTCTAGTCAGTTAGAGGCTTATTTCAGACATAGTTAAATTCAGCTTTAGTATTAGAGTTTTACTTTTCAGTTGTTGTTAAACTTTTTTTTTTCTTATATTCAGATTTAGTATATGGGTATTCCCTATCACTTCATATTATCTCAGTATTAGTTTCCGCACAGTATGTATTCATTCAATTTACTTTAGTATGCTTATGATATGCCAGCAGGGTTAGCTTGGGGTCACTCGTGATCCTAGGTCCCGTGTTCGTGTCCTGGGGGTAGCTTTGGGGCGTGACAACACACCACAACAAAATGGTGTGGTGGAAAGGAAGCATAGACACATTCTTAACATTGCTAGAGCTATTGATTTCAATCTCATTTACCTATTAGCTTTTGGGGGTATTGCATCAAGGCTGCAGTGTATTTAATGAATAGATTACCTAACTTAATTATTGCTAACAAAAGTCCATATGAATTACTTCACTCTAAACAGCCAAATCTGTCTCATCTAAGAGTCATATGTTGTATTTTCTATGCTTCAACACTATCTAGAGGGGATAAGTTCTCAGCAAGAGCTGCTCCTGCCATCCTCTTAGGCTACTCAGACCTACAAAAGGGTTACATATTGTTGGACATCAATTCTACCAAACTGTATGTGAATAGAGATATGGTTTTCCATGAAGAAACTTTTCCATTTGCCAAAGTGATGCCTCAGACTAATCCCTCAGTTGGTTCCCCTTTGGAGACAATATAAAATCTTGATCCGGTGAATGAGTCTACTAATGAAGATAGTGACGAACCTGAAGCTGTTGTCACAAGAAATGAAAATGCTCACGCAGTAGATGTTGGTATTGAGATTACTCAAAAAGAAGATGTCAATGAGAATTCTTCAGTATGCCAAATGCCTTAAATTGATCCAGTACTAGATATTTCTGAAGTTTTCCCTAGGGTACCATCACATATTGACCCTCTAATCAGAAGAACTTCAAGAAACATCAAAGAACCAATTTGGATGAAAGACTATGTTACTACTAAGAAACACAGTAGCACCAGACATCCTATGGCCAATTCTCTAAATTATGACAAACTGAAGCCTTGTTACATGGGTTATTTGAGCAAGCTTTCAGATTGTGTGGAACCTAAGTACTTCAGCCAAGCTGCCAAGGATGAGAGGTGGATACAAGCTATGCAGCAGGAAATCAAAGCTCTTGAGGAAAATAATATTCGGATAGTGGTTGATTTACCAAAGGACATGCATACAATTGGTTCCAAATGGATATACAAAGTGAAATATAGGGCAAGTGGTGAGGTAGAAAGGTTTAAAGCCAGACTAGTAGCAAAGGGATATAGCCAACAAGAAGGACTAGATTATCATGACACTTTTTCTCATGTTGGCAAGAAGGTGACAGTGAGATGTGTCATTGCTCTAGTAGTATCAAAATGTTAGACATTATACCAAATGGATGTCTATAATGCATTTCTTCAAGGTGATTTAGATGAAGAGGTCTACACGGAGATGCCTGAGGGTTTCAAAAGACCAGGTGAGAACAAAGTATACAGGTTACTCAAATCATTGTATGAGCTTAAACAGGCCTCAAGACAATGGAACTTAAAACTCACAAAAACATTGCTAGCCACATGTTTCACTCAAAGTGCTCATGATTACTCATTATTCACACTCAGAAAGGGGGAAGACCTAGTGATTGTTTTGGTCTACGTAGATGACTTATTGATTACATGGAGTAACACAAAGTTGATCACTGAAGTTAAGGAAATCCTGCATAGACAGTTCAAGCTGAATGATCTAGGTGAACTTTCAGAAGGAGTTATTCTGAATCAAAGGGAGTATATCTTAGAGCTTATTGCTGATGCAAGCCTAACTGGTGCTAAACCTGCACTCACACCATTGGAGTCTAATATGAGATTGACATCAGTGGAACATGATCTAACAACTGGCTACACTGGAGATGCTATGCTCTATGATATTACTTCATACCAAAGGTTGGTTGGTTGGTAAGCTATTATATGCCACAATCACTAGACTAGATATAAGCTATGCAGTGCAAACACTCAACTAGTTTATGCAATCTCCTAAGAAGTCACACATGGAGGCTGCTACTAGAGTGGTTAAGTATTTGAAGGGTACAGTTGGTCAGGGTATTTGGCTGCATTCTGAACCTACCAACATACTCACATGTTGGTGTGATTCTGAATGGGCTGCTTGTCCCAACATAAGAAGATCCATCACAAGATATGTCATCAAGTTTGGAAACTCTTTGGTATCCTGGAAATCCAAGAAACAACAGACTGTTTCAAGAAGCTCAGCTGAAGATGAGTACAGAAACATGGCCTCAGCAGTCTCAGAAATCACTTGGGTTCTAGGCTTGTTCAAAGAGCTAGGAATATCTATCCAGTTGCCTATTACTGTTTCAGTGACAGTAAATCAACCATCCAACTGGCAGCTAACCCAGTATTTTATGAAAAGACAAAACATATCGAGATAAATTGTCACTTCATCAGAGATAAGATCAAAGCATGGGTGGTTGACACTGCCTATGTACACACACAACAACAACTTGCAGACTTATTGACAAAAAGGTTGAGTCAGGCCCAACATGTATACCTTTTAGGCAAGCTTGGTATGCTTAATGTCATGCACCCTTCAGCTTGAGGGTGTGTGTTGAAATAGCTGAATATTCAGAAGTTAGTTACTAATCCATTAGTTAGTTAGAAGGTCATTTCGGTCATTTCAGAATGTTAGTTAGTGCTAGTTAGTTGCCTCGATTACTGTGCTGATAAATCAGTTAGTAGATTAGATATTTTCTTCTTCTTCTTCTTCTGGCTTTCTATATAATCTGAGGATGTATCTCACTTGTAAAATGATTTAGATTCATATCAATAAAATTCTCTCTATGTTTCCTCACTCCAGTTTCTTCTCTAAGTTCATCAATGGTGTTATGAGCTTGTATACTCACAATTTTTTTTAGTCAGGTACAGTAAATCCACCAGTCACTTCCACCAAATTCCTTACTAATCCAATGAATTTCTCTTAATCTTTAAACAATTTCCCAAATGTTGCTTTGCATGTATTTGAGCTCTGGTACCATGAAATTTGTTTTGTAATGTTTATTGGCTTGCCACGTGTTGATGATCGGATGAATTGCACAAGGCTCGAAGCCTCTTCTCTCCTGATGGAACTAAACGACCGTATGTTCTTGGCAGTGAAAAGTTCCAAGACACATATTTTGCGCACCTCTCTCAAGTAATCTCCATAAGGACGACGCAATGTCCATACTCTTGTAAAATATCATGTCGGTGGTTACTAATTTATGCCTTGATGCAAAAGCAAGGTCATGCGTTTTCAGTACCTCTCGCGCCATATCCATAGAAGAAACTACGATCGTCGAAATTTCGCTTAGTTGAAGATGCATGAAAGGTCCATATTTTTTTCCCAAGTTTGTGAGTGCATGATGAGGAAGTTCACCTTCTATTGCCAAGTGATGGACACTTCCTAAAAAAGGCAATTTCCATGGTCCTGGAGGAAGTTTCTTGTTAAAGTTTCTTGATTTTTTCCATTCCACAAATAGTAAATAAAGGAATGATAGGAAAAGGATTAAGAAAATGAAGTTGAACGGAAATTGGATCTCCATTAGAGCAAAGGCTAAGAGAGGGGTGTCTCAATTCTCAAGTTCAAAGCTTTATTAGTATAGGCTTTCTTTTGGCCTACTATTTAAGACCACCTTGTATAATTGTACAGGTGAACAAAAAGAATCAACAAAATCGGCGCATGTATACATAATGTATCGATATTGTAAATAATCTACAGTTGTGTATATATGATGTATAACAATATATCATAGATGTATATACATCCATAAATGTTGTTTATACAATATTCATTTATAGCTGATAGCACTAGTTCATTTTCCTTAACGAGCTGATTTTTAGTAGGTTAATTTTTCCTTATATATAAAATCATCTAGCAATATGCAGTTTGTAGACGTCCCTTGCTCATTAAATTTTTAGAATTTGTATTTGATAATTTACTTTCTTTTCCATTTCTAGAAAAACCAACAAAATAGGAAAAGAGACAATAAGATGTTAATTTTTTGTCTATTAAAAGTGAATTAGAAATCATGCCGTGGAGATTAACTCAACTAGTTTTCTACGTTATATATATATATATATATATATATATATATGTTGTTTTTAATAATTAAAAGATATTTTTTTTCATGTTTTACCCATAGCATTAAATACTATTCTCCAAATCATTTTCAAGTAATATTAAACATCAATTAATAGGGATAATGTGGTAAAATATCTATATCAATAGTTGTTTTTTCTTAATGGGTACTGTTTGCAACAACTTTTAACGTGACATAAAATAAATTCCAATCACAAAAAAATATGAAGAAACATAATTTTATTCATCAAGATTGCAGGTACGATTCTGTTGATCAGTTGATTCCTCTCTCATAAGATTTATGCATGATTTGAGGGCCGTTAGTGACATATTTCTCGAACTCGAATGATTTAGATTTGACCTCTATATGAATATTCCATGACTTTTGTGGAATATATCGAGATATTCAAGATTCAAGGGAATATAGTACCCTTTATATAGACATGAACTAGAGTTTAGGGTTGAGTAGCCTCCAAAAATTCTAATTGGAATTGAACACACCTTGTAGAGTCCCAACTCAAATTGAACATGTCTTGTAGAGTTCTATAAAATTTAAATGTCTACAGGTACGTCAAGTCTAACAATGACCAGTAAAAATGAATGGAGGGGTAGATGGTTTAGATTATTTGCCAAAACCAACCATGTAACCATAGTCAAACATTATCTTCCTTCTCTATCCCCGGACTCCCAACCAGGGGCAGAGCTATGTGGTCGTGAGGGTAAAATGATATACAAAGTGATTAAATAACATGTTTTAGACACCCTTAACACAATAGACTGTTGTAGCCTAGTAGTTTCAGACGCTTCAAATGAGCCAGTATTCACATGAATCAAACTAGCAGTTATGCAATTTTTGGAGACCAAATTATTGCTCCAAACCCTCTCCTTTTCCTTTCTGATCTATGTGCACGAGTTCAAGAGGAGAATAGAGTTGGAACACAAAAAAATCAAAAGGATTATACTTCAATTGAGATTCATCAATGGTTAAAAAAAACTCATAACTTTACATTTCTCAGGTGACCAAAATGTTATCTTTTCCTTTAATTTCTTTTAAAGTCAAAAACAGAGAAAATACGATGAGACAATATTTTTTGCTTGATTTTGCAGAAGTTTACAACTTGTGTTGTTCTTCTTCTCTTTTCTAATACTGAATTATTCAAGCCGAGGAAAGTGGGCTGTAATGGAGGACTTGGACGGATGGGCTACTGCAGGGGAGCCAAATCCTAGGAGAGAACATGGATCCTTTGAGCGAGATATTGACAAAAAGAAGAAGAGAATAATTCGCGGTAAGGTTGAAAAGATTCATTTGTGCCATTAACACAGAACTAGATTTTGTCACGTGACATTATTTAAATCTGTCATTATATATTTATATACATACAAAGTTAAAACAAGATGACACAAATATCATTAAATACATAAAATACCCCGACTCCTATATTAAATATCATTCATGAGAAGGATAATAAGGAGTGGCAATCAAGTAGAGCTCACTCTTTCTTGCTGCAGTTATTCCGGAAAATTCAGTCATGTCCACATACTTAGGCTTCAAACCATCAGGTAATTTCCAATCAAAATGATACAACAATTTAGCTAGTGGAAGATAAACATTGATCAAACCAAATGTAATCCCAGGACACATTCTCCTTCCGGCACCAAAAGGAAGATACTCAAAGTTATTCCCCATGAAATCCACAGAGCTCTGTTCGAATCTCTCAGGGATAAAGATTTCTGCATCTTCCCAATACTTCGGGTCCCTCCCCATTGCATAAACGTTAACCATCACTCTTGTTTTTAATGGGATAGTGTAACCGTTGATGTTTGTTTCTTCCCTACATTTTCTGGGGATTAAGAGAGGGACTGGAGGATGAAGTCTTAATGTTTCTTTAACAACTTGTTTTAGATATTTCAATTCCTCAATAACATCTTCATCGAAAGTTTCTTTTCCTTTGAAGGTTTCTCTTACCTCAGCTTGTGCCTTCGCTAATACACTTGGTTTCCTCATCATTTCTGACATAGCCCATATCGTTGTTGTTCCTGAAGTTTCTGATCCCGCAGAGAACAAGTCCTACATTTCATTATTAATAAAAGAAGAATTTACATGAATAGCTGGCGAATGTATAATATGTGTATAAATTTGAAGGATTTTCCCTATAAAAGTAAGAATACTTACTACTCCCTCCGTCCCATTTTATGTGAGGTAGTTTGACTCGGCACGGAGTTTAAGAAAGAAATGAAGACTTTTAAAACTTGTGGTCCAAAATGAATGATAGAAATTTGTGTGGCTGTAAATCATTTCATTAAGGGTAAAATAGACATTTTATAGTGAAATTGTTACTTAATATGGAAATGAGTCATTCTTTTTGGGACTGACTAAAAAGGAAAGTAAGTCACATAAATTGGGACAAAGGGAGTATTATAATTGCTTTGATGTTGTCATTGGTGATTGGAATTTTAAGTTCCCCACTCTCCTTTAATCTTAGTAGAACATCAACTAAATTTTCACCTCCAAATGCACCATTTCCCTTTTTACCACTTGCAATATTCTTTTTATGCTCATTGATAACATCCTCAACAATAACATCAGCATTTTTATGAACTTTCAAGATTTTACTCTTCAATCCACTTAATACTTGAAGGATCTTGATTGAAGGGAAAATGTCAGCCAAACTAAATCCACCTGCCACTTCCATCAATTCTCTTAGTATTCCAAGGAATTTCTCTTGATCTTTCAACAATTCCCCAAATGCTGTTTTGCAGGTAATTGAGCTCTGGTACCATAAAATCCGCTCTGTAACATTTATTGGCTCGTCACGTGTTGATGACCGGATGAATTGCACAAGGTGTGAAGCCTCGTCCCGCCTAATGGAACTAAAGGATCGTACGTTCTTGGTAGTGAGAAGTTCCAAGACACATACTTTGCACATTTGTCTCCAGTAATCTCCATAAGGACTAAATGCGATGTCAGTGCTCTTGTAACATATTATGTCGAGGGCTAATAATTTAGACCTCGATGCAAAAGCGAGGTCATGAGTTTTCAGTACCTCTCGCGCCATATCCATAGAAGAAACTACGATGGTAGAAATTTCGCCTAGTTGAAGGTGCATGAAAGGTCCATGTTTTTTGCCCAAGTTTGTGAGTGCATGATGAGGAAGTCCACCTTCTAATGGCAAGTGATGGACACTTCCTATAAAGGGCAATTTCCATGGGCCTGGAGGAAGCTTTTTGTTTAAGTTTCTTGATTTTTTCCAATCCACAAGTAGTAAATAGAGGAATGATAGGAAAAGAAATAAGAAAATGAAATTGAATGGAAATTGG